AAATATATTATTCAGGCTGTAGAATTGAAGTGTCGTTGCGTCATCTTGAGGGGGATGGGGCGTCAGGTATATAAGTGATTGAAGTGGAGAGTATATTTGCTTGTCGTGAGATGGAAAAAACCAAGGGAGATAAGGGAAGCAACTAGGGCTTTCCAGGAGGAGGGAGACTACGGGTGTAGATCCTGCCACCCGCCGACAAAGTCGAATTCATCATCAATGGCCGCCGGGGAGTAGATGGGGATGTGGGGGTAATGCTGGCTTCTCTTTGGTTTGATCGTCTGGTCCTTGTCGCGACGCCAATCCTTGCTGAGCATATAGGGCTGGATGATGGGCTGTTGCTGGTGACCGTTATGGCCACGGCTGTCCTTTGACTGGAACTTCTTCTTGGTCCAGGTGCCGTGGTCGTACTGTGGTTCCTTGCGCCAGCTGGGAGCCTTGGACTTGGGGGTCGAAGCAGCACGGTAATCCTTTTCAGGCGTGTGGTTCATGCGCTTCTTGCCAAGGGCAGCCCATTTGTCCAGGATGGTGTTTTTGGAGGGCGAGTGACGACCCTGAGGGACAGGGGTGTTGCTGCCATCTCTAAGAACACTGCGTGGCTTGGATGGTGTGACAGGGGTAGCGGCAATGTTCTTCTTCTTCTCGTCCTTGACGATTGGAATTGGCTGAACATTGAGCATGGACGATGGCTCCTCGATTTCAGACAGGCCAAGACCGGCAATGTCTGGGGTGTTGCTCTCCTTGCTCCAGGTACGGGAGTTCTGGGCCTGGCGGTTGCGCAGACGGGCCTCCTCGAGCTCGGACTCCTCCTCATCCCAAAGGTCACTCCAGCTCTTGGACACTTGGTCAGAGCTGCCCTTGCCAAACACAAGGGACATGGATGGAATGGGGCGAGCTGCCGAGGTGGGCAGAGACTCGCTGATGGGAGCTGGGCGAGGAGCGTTGCGTAAGGCGGATTGGCGCTTGATCGATTTGAAGGAGGCACCCAAGCTTGAATCCAGAGTGGAACCAATGGATGGCGAAATGGCGTGAGTCGAGTACCATGAAGTACCATCCACCTCCGATGCCGGGAAGAGATCCTCGCTGTAGCTCTCAGTGTCTGGGATGACGGAGAGGCGACGACCACCTTGCTGCTGAGGGGAGACCTGGAGAGCCTTTGCCCATGGGAAGGATTCTCCCTGGTTGACCTGCGGCGTCTGGATGGACGGGGTGCGTAGAGGCTCACGGTAAGCACTAGCAGCAACGACGTCACGATCCTCGGTGCAGAAGTCATCGAGAGACTCTTCATCGGTGGTGAAAGTGACGGCACGTATGATGGCCTCTCTCATACCGGCAAGCGATCTCTTCTCTGGGTTGAGTGCGATGGAGTGTCTGAGCACCTCAAAGGTATCCTGAGACATGTTCGGGAAGACGTCAAAGAGCGACTGTCGGTCACGGGAGTAGTCTGCGAAGAGGATATCCGACTCCGTCGGGGTGACAAAGGGGTTCTTTGCAAAGAGGATGTTGAGCAGACAGATACCGATGGACCAAATGTCAGCTTTGGCAGGGGAGTAGCCGGCCGCGGTGGGCTCGTACTGCTCTGGAGCCATGTAGCGGTCGCTACCGACACATGCCTCAAAGGACCAGGGGCTGCTCGTGGCCAGCCCAAAGTCACCAAGCTTCATGGAGCCATCCTGGCAGAGGAAGATGTTCTCTGGCTTGATGTCTCTGTGGTAGAGACCCTTGGAGTGCATGAACTCGACGCCGTCGATGAGCTGGAGCATGAAGTCACGTACGTGTTCAGTCTCAAGTGGCCCACGGCTGTTGCGGATAGCCTCGTACAAGTCACCCATGGAGCAGTACTCGAGGACCAGGAAAATGTGGGACTGGGTCTCGAAGCTGCTGACGAGGTTGACGAGGTTTGGGTGCTGTCCGAGTTTCATGTGGCACTGCATCTCCTCTGAGCGGTCGTCGACAGAGAGAGGAGAGGACGGGTCCGCAGACGAGGGCTTGGTCAGGCACTTGATGGCTACCTGCTCCCCCGGTGAGGGTGTCGTTTGCAAGGAAGACCATGCCAAAGGATCCATGGTTAAGCGGAGCAACTGTCTGGAAACGTCCGTCGAGGAGTTTCCCCTGGATAAACTTGTCCCGCAAGCAATCCATGATAAGTAGCTGGACTTTGTGGAAAGGGGAAACCCGACGGAAAGGAGAGCCAAAGAAGCGCTGGTCCTATGACCGAACAAACGCAGGCAAAGCAAAGCAAAGAAGGAAAGAAAAAAAGGCAAGAAGGAAAGAAAGAACAAGAGTGGTGTGTTGTCGTTGATCAGGCTGTCATATAAATGTTGATTTGAGAAGATGGACCGTGAAAAAAGATTGGAAAAAGGTCAAAGAAACACAAGGAAATCGGTTCGCCGTCCGCGAGAAAAAAGCTGAGATTGCACCCAAGGCACCTCGTTTGGTTGATGCTGGTTGAACGAAGAAAGAAAAAAGAGAGCTGGTAGAGATCGTTATGACTGCATTTGAGCGTTGTGTCCGAGGTAAGAAAACGAAAGCTGTTCGTTTACCGTCGGTGTAAATGAGTCTGTTGGTAATGGGTTTTTTTTGTTGCCAAAATGATAGCCAGGTAAGGAAAAGTAACTGAAAGATGCCGGTAATGAAAAGTCGAAAAGAATGAAGAAAAGAATTGAACGCTTCGTTGCAAGGTCGTGAGCTGAGAGGGAAAGACGAGAAGAAGACGGAGGAAGTGGAGGGAGGGCGAGACGAGTATTATCGCTTGAATAGAGTGACTATGAGACCAAGACGTGCCTGCAGAGGGGTCGAAGATGAGGTCAAGATGAGGGTCACGTTTGAGATAGAGGAGTCAAAGTCGTGGAGCAGGCTCGGCCTTGATGACGAGTCACAAAATTCAGCGATAATAGACGGCAGCTTCCCCCAGAGTCGATCAACGTGGCAGGCAGTTTGACTTGTACGATCGAGAGAGCAGCGGGCAGCGAGAGCTTGTCAAGGTGGTCAGAACAAAGCTATCAGAGCTGTCTGTCAGAGCAACTGGGTTCTCGAGAGTGGTTTTGTTGGAGCGGTCCCCCGAGATGTTGCGAGTTGGCGAGTTGAAGTAGCAGTCAGTCTCCTGCGATAGATGACTTGACGGTTGACTCAGAGCCGGCGAGAGACGGTCATGCTATGTGAGTGGCGAGCAAGCAGACGCTAGTCGTAGTCTTTATCGGTATTCGACTGTCTCAAGTGCACTCTTGTAGTCGTGGCGGTGGTTGGTCGAGGTGAGTCAACGTCAGTCAACGGTAGCAGCTGTGACTCGAGTGTTGCTAGTAGCAGGAGTCCAAGAGGCGAGGTCGAGGTTGAGACGAGAGAGGAAGAGAGTCGGCGGGAGAGTCGGCGGTAAGTGATGATGGCGGTGACGGCGGGCGAAGAGAAGAGATGAAGTCGAGGGTGAAGGCGAAGGTGAAGGTCGAA